AACTTTTCACCGCACAAGTTTACCATTTTCAAACCATTTTTTTGTTGTTGTTGTTGTTGTTGTTGTTGCACCCTATCTCTCATTCAGTTTTTTGTCGTTGCCAGTTTGAACGTGATACGATGCACTTGTTAAAAGAAGACGTTAATCTATTTGACGGAAAGTTGCATGATGATGATGCCTTTGCACTGTCGTTGCAACGGCAGCTGCTCTACAAATTAAGCAACATGCGCCCGAAAATTGTGATTGTGTGTGTGTGTGGATGTGGCAGTGAACTAAAATGGAAAACGTGACACGAAATTCTTCGCGTTTGCAATCTAGATATTTTCATCCCAAAAAAATTATACTTTGCAGAAAAATTTGAATGTGTGCCCAACAGCGAAAAACATACACTTCCGGGGCGCAATATTTTTCACTTGATTCACACATTTTCGACAATTCGCCACCGCTTACTGTCACACCATCATAATCAACAGCGTCTTCGTTGGTCGTTTTCTTTCTTTAGGCAAATTCCAACAATTTTCATGCGAAGCAACACAACCAAACATTAAAATAAACATCATTTCCCAAGAAGTTCATGTACGAATTCTTACTTTGTCGAAAAAAAATTTTTCGCTCCTTCTTCTTTCGTATTTTCGCCCCTTTTATTATGCGGTTTTCACTTTTTCAACACGATTCAGTCAAGTTCCTGTTTCAAACCACACACACACAAATTCAGTTCAGTGCATTGGAGGCACTGACGATGTGTTTGAATATACGTGCATACGAACGAAATTCGGAGATGATTGCATTGCCGTGGCATGCATTTAATGTCATTCTCTCGCCCGCATTCTTCATGAAATGCCATTCCACTGAAGGAGAGAAGATGATGAAGAAGAAGCGAGAAAAAAAGTTTTCTGTCTTAGCCCACAGAGAGCTTTGGCTTCCCAATGTGTATGGAAAACTTTGTCATTTCATACGCACAAACTATCATCATTGCAAGTAGTATACAAAATCTGATTTGTCAACTCCCCAACGCCATTGAAAACCGCCAGCATTGAGACCACAAAAACCCGCCGAATCAAAATGATAGCGTCAAGAAAGTTAAAACTAGATAAAACAAATAAATAAGTTAAAATGGAATAAGAAGAAGAAGAAGAAGAAAAGGAAGAAGAAACAAGTTCGGGGTGAATAAAATAGAAAAAATGGCTCAAATTCCAAATGCGTTAATGATATAAAGATGATTAAAAATTTCACCGATTTTCCCATCGGTTCCCATTTACTTTTTTTTCGAAAATCGATCAAATTTTTTTATATTTTTCTCACATAATTTTATTTTTATGGAATTGTTTCTCCTCGATACGAACAAAACGTTCGCATTCGATCGCACCCACACATGGAAAATTTAAGTGCTAAAGCTTATAATTCCAACTTGTTCCGAAAAATAAACATCACTATAAAATTTGACATTAAAAAAAGTAACGTTAAGCTTTCAAGTTTGGTGAATTACTAACTGCGCGTCATACGCAGCTCATAAATAATGGATGTGTTCGGTCTTATGTTAGTTTTTTTTTATGTTCACACAATCATTAAAACAAAAAATAAATGAAAAAAAAGTTTTATCACAATTGGATTAGCGTGCCTTTTTCACTATCGAATTAAAAGTTTTTATTTTTTTTCGGAAAAATTTCCAGTAATTCTTGAGTTAGTCTATTAATTTTTCTCCCGTTTTATCGTTGCTATCTCTATCATCTTGAAGTAATATCAACATTCAACAATGCTCAGGCATTTAAGTTCGATCATGAGTTTTATGTCGAAGCGTATTAATCGAATTAGAAGATAGTTTCGTTTTTTTGGTGCTGACAAGCATAAGTAATGCATTGAACTGATAATTTCATGAATGTTGCATTATGCATGAACTTTGCGTCCGGTGGATTTCTCCACGTGCTAGATTAAACACATATTGGTTATTTATTGCTTTTTTATCGAAAAGTTTTCTCGTTTCGAGAAACAATTTCAAAGCAAAAAAGAAAGTACATTTTTTGAGGCGACACAGTCGATATGGATTACCCCAATTCGGAGTCTATGAAGGCATTTATATTTTTAGGTACAATTTTTCTGGTTAAAAAACCAGATCGAATTTTAAAGCGAACATCGCGAGTGCTTCTCCTTTTTCTTGGTGTGGGTGTCGTGTGAGGTGCCCATTAACATGGAAACCAACAATTCGAATTAACCTTGTAAACAGAAGCGCCAAATGCATTCAGTCGACATGAAAAGCGGAAAGAAGCAAGTGAAAAAAGCGGCAATAATCGCCAGCAGTTTGATTCCATGAAGTTGTGTTCGATGTGTCTCTCCTCACTCTCCATCTCTGTGTCCCTGTGTGCCGATTCCGCGTTCGCAATGCTCTTTTTAGTATTAACACGCTGATTTTATTGCACAAATTCCCAGATCGCAAATAAACACATCGAGTCGAAAGAAACGGTTGTTTCTCTCGCTTTTTTTTCTCTCTAGTCTTGAACCAAAACGAATGAACGGGATCGTAACTACATAGAGAGAAAGACTGATTGTGTAATCGAGGGTTGTGTTTCTGTTGTTGTCGAACAAACAAAACTTTCAATGTTATTTATTTATTTCTTTATTGGCCTGTTTTCAATGTTCTTTCTCTCTCTCTCTTTCTCTTCGGTGCTTTTGTTCGAAAAGTTGTGTGTACTGGTTTAGCATGCCAATTCGAGTTGTATTTCGATTTTATGATTATTGAATCGCTTCAACACCGATTTATAGAACTCAAATACTCCGAATGAAAAACATTGTTCTGTTAAGAAAAAAAAATCAAGGAGTTTTCCGTGAAATTTTTTTTCGTTCCTGGCTCTTGTTTAGCCCGAGCTCGATGTGTGACAAATTTAATTGAAGTCTATGAAACAGACGTTCATGCTATTTTTTGCTGTGCCCTAACTAAACGCGGAAGTGCCATTGTATGGAGTTATAAAAGATATGCAGGCACGATATACATACACAAAGCACTTGATACGTAAATAAAATCTTAATCAGATTAACACAGGCAGAACAATACAATTCAAACTTTCGGAAAAACTTAACTTATTATTACAGATATAAATGCATTACGTGCACAAATACTGCATTGAATGAGCCCAACGAGCGAATAAACGACTGAGCGAATGTGTATGTGTGTGTGTGTGAGAGAGGGATGTAGAGCGAGCAAATCGCTTGTATCACATAAATTCCCAATGAATTTCAACGAGCAATTGGGGAAGCGAAATAGAAAATCGTCGAAATAGCAACTGAAGCAGTGCCAAAACATTTGGAATTGCTTCGAAATTGTGCATGCTGAAGAAAGAAAAAAACGCCAACATGTGCAAACGATGCCATTGCCATTCACTGACAGCCGACTGAATTTTTTAGTTTGCTGTTTTTCTTTCTTTTCGTTTTCATTTGCTCCGTTGCCACTATGATTCGCTAGCATTTTCTTGTGATTTCGAAACTTAGTCGAAAAATAAGTTGAAAGCCATTGAATGCCAACATTCGTTGGCGTAAACATGCACTTAAATAAATGTGCCGTAAAACAATAAACCACAATAACAACAACAACATAAAAATGATTTAATTTATTTGTAAGTAGCGAGAACAGTTCAAAACGCCATTCGGAGATATTGGAGTAGAATCGTAACTTTGGCGCGGTCAATGCGATGTTCATTAGGTGTGAAGTGAAATTCGACCATTTGCGATCAGGCGTTGAGCTTAGAAGGTCTGCCTTGTTAGACCCAGACATGAAGAAAATAACAACATTGGCACGAATATTTGTGAAAGAACAAGTGTATTTCAACTTCTTGTTAGGAAAAGTCGTCTCGACACGAAATGCTAAAATGAAGACGGCGAACCAATTTTCATTGGGCCGAATTACGGAAGTAAATTGGTCAACAACCCAATGTACAAGTACATCTTCTTTTGCAATCAAATTCAAACTGTCACACGGTGAAATTAAAATTTAGTTTATCGTTTCGTGTGCAACGTGTACGGCATACAATATTCGTGCACCTTGCACATTCTCGCCAAGGCTTTGGGTATTGGATTTAAGTGAATCTACGTTCAAGTGGTAAATGAATTAATCTCATTCGATTTCCTGGTTTTTGGTCTCGTCGACGCAAAAACACGAACATTGTGCACTACATCTATCTTTTCTCCGTGTATGTCTGGTTACATGCCAAAGGGTAGCTTGCACTCGTTTGCTCTCTTTATCTCTTCTCTCTCTCACTTCTTTGTGCCAGCGAACAAAACACTTTGACTGTATGTTTCAGATCATTGTCTGCGAAATCACCACGAAATATTTATTGGTGCAAGGCAAACAACGGCGGAAACTTCCGTTTTATGCACGTGTAAACCGTTGAAAGAAATAGAATTAATTGCTTGAACTCGGAACGTTCTCTTGTTGGTGCTGTTGACTATTTTAGTTTGCTTGTTGGTTGATCTGTTTTGCTTGTGCAACGGTTAACGGTTTGGCCTCCTCAACCGTATAAATCTTACTCAAGTTTAAAACGATAACAGTCCTCTTCCCCAATCGCAATGAAGTAACCCAAATTGCCAAGTGCAATTGTTGATTTCCCGTAAAATGTTCACATCGAAATATCCAGTATACGATTAATGTTCAACAAGATCGTTTGTGCTTGATAATTAGCCCCGAACATCGAGTGCACACAGTCAGTACACCAATCCAAAAATAAATGCAAACTACACCGATATATTTTGCGGCCAGTGCCAACCGAAATATCTCGACTTAATTTACTTCTCCACACTCGCAAATGCGGAAAGTGTTTTGGCTGGCAAATAAAATGCATGTGTTTCATTTAAACCCTCAACACAACATCCAATGAAATATTTCATGGGATTTTATTGTGGATTGAAATCCAAATCTCTCTGGTTTTTTAAGCCATTTCTATCGTTTATTTATTTAATTTTTTTCAATTATTTTTTTTTTTTATAAATTGTTTAAAAAAAGAATTTTCACTGACCTTTTGCATAAAGGATTACAAAAAATAGTTTGATCGCTATAATTGGCTGCATGTTTTTGCTATAAATTTAATAAGCAATAAATCTAGAAATTATGGTGTATTTCGTTTTGAAAATTTGTTTTCAATTTAATTTTCTCTTGTTGCAGGAAGAAAATTGGTTTGGATTTTGTTAAAATTAAAATGTTGAACCATCACACCGAAATGCATTGGAACTGATCGTTTGTGGAAATCATTCTGTTGCACCCACTAAATTTTAATGTCACCCCGTACCGAGGTAGAATGTTTGATTTATTTGGACACTTCAAACATTTTTTAAAATTTTATCTCGAAAATTCTGATTAAAAAACAAAAAAAAATTCTATTTTATTTCTTTTTCTCTCTCGTGTAAATTTCAATGTTCAATTTTCAAACACTCGAAAATTCCGATTGCAATTTTAAAGTAGTCTCAATAATTTAATGAACTCGTCAAGTAACCGCTCAAAAGATTTAATCCATCGATAAACATTAAACATATTCACTGTCTTTTGCTGTGTGTACTTGTAAGCACCACCAAGAAATTGATGATGTGGTGTAACGCGAGAGTGTTAAAATAAAGTCGGCGAACAAATCAACACAACCGCTTTCGTGCACCGCTAGAAACTTACTGACTTTCTTGGTCTGGCACCGCCACACTAGTAGCGTATACCAAAAAGGATGTTTGCTTTAAAATCTATCCGTAAAATCGTTTTCGCATATACCGTGTATATATGGCATATAGTGGGAAAAAGCGGGATGGCTGTGGAGCACGCACATTTTCAATTTTCCCAAACGAACGAACGAACGAACGACAGCCAGACAACACATCACATGAACCATGTGAATGCGTTCATCCCTTAGCAAACAACACAAAATTATGACGATAGCGTCAACAGCACTCCAACAGCACACCAAGTCACTGTTATCCACATTTTGTGCACAAACAGCCTTTTTTACAATTTGTTTCCCCCTCGCGAGCGAACTAACGAGTGCGAACAGAGCAGAGTGAAAACAACAACGATGAGAAAAATACAGCAGCCAAAAATTATTTCAACAAAAGGAAAATCTTGTTGTTTAATGTGAACAACAAAATATCGTGGGTACGTATTGTAGACGTTTGCTTGTAGGCACCCAAACAACAAACACACACACATACAGAAAACCCACCAAATGGCACAGCATTGGATAAGCGACACTGAGACGAGATGGCACATCGGTTGGTGATCGGCTCGCATTCGACAATAACAACAAATCTTATTCGTTGACTGATTCGTCAATTGTGCACATTTTTAATGAGCGGTTCGTGCTATCGAAGTGCGTATTGGTGGCAACCGTTCTGTGTGATTCTCAGCGGCGACGGCGGGGAAATTCAACGAACAACCCGACTGCCGAACACAATCCAAACACATCACACCTTGAATGACAACATTTCCATCTGGCCAAGGTTACGTTTTCTCGGCTTAAGAGTAGAATTAATTAAATTTTTTCTACGATTTGTTCATAAATTTTCTAAAAACTAGAGAAAAAAGACGTTTTATTTGCTGTTGGCACATGCGCCAAACGAAAACATCAAATTGGAGAAATCGTACGGAATCTTTTTCACCACGTTTTCCCTCATTTTCGAACAGCCCCTCAATTTAATTTACAAATAACGATACCTTCATGCTTTGAATGAGTCAACGAAAAAAGCGGTAAATTTATAATACGTTTTTTCCCAATTAGTGGATTTTTCATTCATTCGTAATTGTTGTTTGCCTAAACGCGGTGCATAACACGTAAATAATTAGAAATAAATATTCTATAGAGTTTTTTTTACTCTCCTATAGGAAATATACTCAGCGGTTTTATCACTTTTTGTGAATATGTTCAATTTGGAGGAAATAGTGGTATTCAAATTAAAACAAACATTTAATTTGTTTATTTTTTAATTCAAATACAAACACTAAAATCACGTTACCTTCTATAAACAGCACCACCAAAAATATAGCGATTATAGTGATGAACCTCATCTCTAATTTTGAAAGTGAAACACTTTCGTCAGGTCAAACTTTTTATTGGAACGATTCAAGCAAATTGTGTAGGCCACTTCGAACAGACTGAATGGAACAAACTGTATAAAAATTCTCAAACTGCAAATTCGATTGCTTCAAAAATATGTTGGTTGAATCAAATTAAAACCCGTAAATAATTCCTTTATTCCATATCTCAGTAGAATGTATTATCATTTTTTCGGTGTAAAGGTCAATTTTATATAGCGAATAGCATGATTATCCGAACGAGACAGAAATGATAACTAATTTTCATTCTATAAACGGATTTCTTCTCTATCAAAGCGTTTTGGTCTACTCACCTAATGCACTCATTCTGATTTTTAATGTGTTTTTAATCTTCGATTAATGTTTGAAGTTGTTTCAACATTGTTTGAAATCAAAATATTTACATAAAGTAAATTGTGTCTTCGAAAATAGCCTGATAAGGTAAATAACCTGATAAGACAACTTCGGTAAAAGGAATTGATAAAAAACCTTGAAAAGGCCAATAACATATTTCTTAAACTCAAAAACATTACGCAGTTCGACTATTCCCACGTTTATTTTGGTTGATTTCGAATTTTAATAAACAACTTTTTCAAAAAAAAAATTCTAGAGTTAATATACCAAAAAGTTCAAGAAAATTCAGCCAGAGAATGAAAAAGTAACACAAACAAATTTGATTTTTCATTTTTATTTCCTACAATTCGAATAATTGAATGTTTACATTAAATTCCACAAAAAGAGTGACTATTCATTTATTTTCGATTCGCTTGATACCAAAAAAATTCTTACACAAAAATAGTTTCCATTTAACTAAAAAGACCAATTGGTAAACTTATTCAAAAAAAAAGTGTTGGAAAGGCGAATTTGACCTTTGTTAAATATTGCCATTTTAAAAACATACACGTTCATCTAAACCCTTTGGTCATTCTTTCACAATTTCACTTTGATAACAATATCTGTTTTTAGTCTATAAACTACTTCTTCTGATTAGACAATATCATTTGTTTGACAAGATACAAAAATATGTTTGTTTGTTTTTCGGCAACACAACCATTGCATCAAACTAAGAATACAAAAACCCTATATTTAATTTATATGTGAGATATTGGACGACATTGTTTACTTGATCATTTTATCTATTTGAACTTCGTATCTGAAGTCAGCGATTCTATTTTTATTCTCTCTCTATCTTTTCCTTTCTCTCTGAAGTATTTTATGAATATTTGATTGCTTTAGCGTTCGCGATAGCCTGTTTGGATTTGAGGTGATCGGCCACGTAGCGTGTTGAACCGAACAGAGCCCGTGTTACACGGCACAAGTACGTGTACAGTTTCATGTTTCGGAAAACGTTCCAGCAATCGATGAGAAAATTCAATATCATGGCAATTGTATGCGATACCCAAGCGCATACACACATTTCGTTCGATTTGTTCGCGACGATATGACTGCAGTTGCATTGCGTGGTGTCCTTTGTCCCTTGCTTCTGCTGCTGCTGCTTGTTTTCCGATGCATCGGTGTTCTGTTGTTTACATTTGCATGTTTCAGTGTTTGACCTTTGATATCGTTCGTACTTCATTTGTTGGCAATAGGCAACGGTGAGAATGCGATTTGGATCAGCGCCCAAAACCGTTATCACACAATCGATGTTGCTCTGACACATTTTGACCAAGTCATGAAAGTCTTCGGGTCGCATTTCATTGATTTTCATTTTCTTTGGTTCATTCGACTCCTTTGTGTGTAATTCAAACTGTTTCTCGGTGCTGTTGTAGGAAATGGTCTTCTCCGGTGAAAATTCTTTGAGCGATGATGGTGGTACGGTTTGTGTATCATCAACGACAAGTGTTGAGGGCATGTTTGATTCGACTGAAGCCGTTGTGGCTTCCGATAGATTCGCTTCGGATGATTGATCCAGGGATAATGTTGAGTGTGACTCAGACGATGTGGAGTCGTATGCTGGAATAGTTGAATTTAGACTTCTCAACCGTTTGTTACGAAGGCGACGACTTCGACGAACTTTCACCGATCCACTCGGTGTCGATGGTGGCGTTTCAAAAACATGCATTACCGGTTTCTTTGCTGCTTTTTCCTCAAAACTGTTCTCCATCTCCCTGTCACTTTCCGTTGCCGTCGATTCATTTAGGTGCACCGAGTAGTCATCGCCAAAATAGCAAAGTTTATTGATTAATTCTTTGCTCTCGAAATCGCTGCCAGAAAAACCATAATCGCTATCCGGTTTCGTGAATTCATTGCCCAACTGAAAGTTGTCCCAAATCAGCGAACATTCCTCCGAAATTGAATCGTTTAACGTTGACTCGAAGCGTTTCACTGGGCTCAGAATCGATGGCAAACAATTCAGCGATGTTCGCATTGATGACGTACGATTGTGTACGTCCAGCGGCCGGCACATCGACAGATCCATTTCCGATTTAGCACGATATAAAAGTTGATAGTCCGCTTCACCGGCCGTTGCACCATCCAAACTCACCGTTGAGTTTGATTGGCAGCTATCCGCGTGCAACCAATCGTACACTTTGTGATGCGACAATTCGTACTCTTCGGCCGGGCTATTTGATGCTTGAGGCAGCGGTGTGGACGGTGTGGCCAATTCACAGAAATCGATTTGATTCCAAATGTGATTCAACTGTGACACAACAATCGTGTCCTCGATTAATTCTTGTTGCAATGGTCGTTGCTCCGTATGAACTAAAGTGTGATCGTTTGATTTCAAACAGAGGCTATCGGTTGCATCAAGCAATGAATGCAAATCATGTTCAAATGTGAACTCCCTATCGCAACTGCTTTCGTAAATAGTGCTGCTCATTTGCGGTGTGACGTTATCAGTCGTGTGTTGGTTGTTGTCACAGCTATCATCATAGTTGAAATAGTATGTACCGATGCTGGTTGACATGACATTCGTTTCAGTGTAAATGGGTGTTTTAAGTTCGGAATGGATTTTATCACAGATTACATCATTCAAGAACTCATTATCACCGTTGTCCACGTGATCCGATGAATGTTCTTTGCTGTTTGTACTCAAGCTACACTCGTAATCATGAAATGATTCACTTAAAATGCGATTTGACGGTGAAAAACTGTTGGCCGGCATACCTTCGAGCAGCAATAGCACTTCGTACACTTTCAAATACAGCAAATGGTATCGTTCTTCGAGCGATTTGTGTTCATTTCGTTTGGCTCCTTTCACGATGCACGGCTTTGCGACGATTTCTTTGAATATTTTCGAATGCACATCCAACTGCGAGGCCATTTGTTTCGGTTTCATTGTAACGATTTTCGATAGTTTCGGTTGCGCAGCCACACGATTCTCCATTTCGCACAGCCATCGGGTGAATTGTTCAATGGTTTTCGATGTGACCACCGAATTGTCCGACCCGCTAAATGATGAATTTGTTGTCGAACTGAGCGATCGATTGAATTCACAGCGTATTTTTTCCGACCGAATCGAATGCACTCCATCTTCGGTGCTGATATCATTCAATGCAGCCGCACAACTATCCAGTAGATTTGTATTGTCCATAATTGAATTGTAACTCTCTTGAAATTCGGGCCAATCACACTGTGGCGTTGTTTGTGACACTATCGATAGTGTCGATGATGCTGCTGTCAACAACGAAAAATGACTATCCATAGACATCGGGGAGCGTACTTCGTAAGACTCGTTCGACGAATGCAGAAGATCGGTCGATGCTGTGGTTGCATACGTTGACCCTGCCACAAGCACGCCAGCCGGTTGAAATTCTCTCATTTTTGGGCTGCTTGAGTTGTTGTTGCTTTTTTCAATTCACAATTTTCAGCTCAAAATCAAGGTGCTCTATCGTTGACAAAATAACAGCAAAACGAATGCAATAAATTCACGGTGAAGGTCGTCATTCAAACTGAACGTCATCAATATTATTCGATTGCGCTTTAGCACGAAACCTACAACAAAACCATCAATTTCAATTATTAACAACAACTTGTTTCTTCTTCTTCTTCTTTCGATTTTCACATAACTTACTTATTTTGATGCAGATAAACAATATTTCAATGATTTTACTTCTTTTCACACAGAAATAGACAAATTTTACAAAACGGCCACAAAATTTAATTAAATTAGCATGAAAAATGTACAGTACGTTTTATTTTTGTGAGGTTTGACAGAACAAATGACGAATTCACAATGCGGTGTTTGCACAGAATATGTATGAAAATTTTTGAAATGACACTCATACACAACGCGTCAGAAACGACTGAGGGTAGCGCGCGTCTGATAGGTCACGCACACATATGCACATCGCATACACTTTCAAGACGCTGAGACGATGTCTGAGCTGTTGCGCTCGAGACGTCAACCGATCGTCGCTCATAATAACCAATATGCACAAGCATTAACCATAACGCAGCCTATCGACCGTGATTACACATACACTCACACGCAAACGGTAGAAAACGCAAGCCATAAACAAAACGGAACGAAACGAAAAAAAAATACGTTAAGAAGAATGAAGCATAAAGACGGAACAGACGACAACCGACCAAATCCCCATCATAAAAACAAAGAAGTAATTATTCGCCTTTTTCACTCCGCATCGGTCGGCTAATTGCGACTGGCTCACCTGCATTGTCTAATCACTGAGCCGTAGACAATACAATGCTGAGTCTCTTTCTCGCTCGCTCCCATTTACAACACACTTGTCTCGAGATGTGCAAATGTGTCTGCATTGATAGAATGTTTCCCAAACATGGGAATAAGAATGAGAATAAGAATTGAAAACGTGAGCGACTTTCTTCACTTTCGCACGCATCCAACGTTGATGTCGGTGTTGTTCTCGGTGTTGTTGTTGTTGCTTGCAATAAATAGATAAACAAATAAACGGATTTGTGAAGATTTCTAAATACTACTGGCTTTTGGAATTGGTTTGTTTTTTCGTCTTTCTGAATGCTGCATACCAGCATCAGAATATTTTTCCATAGAAATATGCAAAAATTTACCCAGCGTTTTGTTTTATGTTGTAATTGCATTTAGTCAAACAAAAAAGAGGGGAATAACTATTTTTCTGGCATGCAAATTGTTTTAAAATAAACATGGGATTTCTATCTTATTTGATAAAAATGTGTAAAAAACACCCGGCAGACATATTAAATATCGCTTGTGAAAACAATCGCACCCGATTCCGATTAACCTGCACACAGAACAACAATAACAACTAAGGTACACGGGGAAAAAAATATAAATTGAATTTGTTCAATTTTTATTCAAGCCAATTTGTTTTTGAGTTTGTACACTCTATTTAAAGAGTAAACACACGAAACCCATTTTGCTCGTGCCACTCTGCAACATCGACCATGCACATTCGATGCATACAAAAATATGGTTTTTCCACAAAAACCAACACAACACACACAATATCTAGTATATTTCTGTCTTTTACACAATTTTCGGGTAAACACACAACAAGAAAAAAATGCAATTTTTCGCATTATTTACTTTTGTTGGGGGGTGCGTGCGTGCGTTCGTGAGTTGTCCGCTGGCGAAAAGTTCCGATTGGAAATTGATGCTTTTGTTGCATTTGAAAGTGTTTGAATTCAACTGGTGCACATAGTGTGTCGAGTGCACATGCTGTTTGCATGTCAATTTGAAAACTGATGCAAACATTTTGACGATTTATTTACGAAGGACGCGGCAGCAGTAACGGCAGCATCAGTACTAGTAGTAGTAGTAGTAAAAAAAGAGTCTCTGAAATGCATTACGCACTCACTCACTGTGCACGCAATGTGAAATATTTGGAAAGGGATATTGTGAAACGAGCGCTTGGCAGGCAGCATGACATTCGATGGCATCTGCTCGTTCGCATTCAATTTTGATTGTATTTGCAAATGCTGGCGTAGAAAAAGGCAGATCGAGAGGGAAAGAGAGATCGATCATAACTGAAATTACTTGTTTACATACAGTAGACCAAGCAAACAAAAGTGTTTGTTGATTACGTACGCTAAATTTCCTAAATCTGTAATTGAATCGAATTGAAAATCAAACAATGACACTGCGCGATTGAAGCACGTTCGATCGTGACGTATGCGAATGGCTATTTTCAATTTTCCAATATTTACCAATCGATTAAGTTTGGCGCTTTCAGCCGTTTTTAGTTTTTTTTTGTTGGTTTGTTTGTTTGGTAGTGCCTTTGATTCATACACTTTTAGCTTTGAAGCGTATAAATCCACGAAATAACAGGGATTTTTTCAAGTATTCAGTGAAAACAATCGACTCTCTGTTGGGCAATGGCGATCAAAGCGATTATATACTGAAAGACCGATTCCCTTTGAGCAATATCAATTACAATTTTAGATGTTTGACGTCGATGTCAGTATCATTTGTAGTGAAGCAAAGCAATTGACGTTGGCACATTGTACGAGTTTAACCTTTTGATTGATTTGTAAATAGATTCTTTCAAAACCTCAGGCAAATCTCCACAGCGCAAAAGTCATAATAGGAAGAAAAAAACACAATCAAATAAAATAGCTTCATTGATTTCGCAGTCACTTCTAAAAAGAAGTGTTATTTATACATTACGCAAATTATCATAATTCAAAAAGTTGCAATCTGATACATAGATAGAGTAGTCTGAATGTCGTCGATTTGTAGCTCATAAATTTGTACGCCATAACCCTTGATAAATATAATAAAATCGACGATTTCCGCTCGTTTGCTCGCATTCATATCGCCATTAAAGACGTGCGATTCTCACATTCAACCTCGCCAAAAATGTGCATTCCGAAAGCAGGGAGAAATTATCAAAGTCATTTAAAATCACTTAACATTTTTCCAAACCAACCGCTCGTGAAACCAACGCAACTCTTTCGACACCCGAATAATTTATGACTCGAGCTCACACTGATTTAGTTCAGATATTTTTTTTGGCGTATTTATTTACAGCATGAAATATATGGCATGAAGAAGACATTTCCAAAGCAGAAAATAAATAAAACGGAATTGCGTGATATCTGCATTGCCGTCGAAAAATTGTTCAGGTGTTGTCATCAGGTCGGTGAAGCGGGCTTTTAATTATACTTTTTCCTACATATAATAGGAATCCTATTCAAACAAATGGCCAATTTTGCAAATTGCATCACTGCTTTGAACTTTGTGTAGTGCCTGCAAACCACTTTTAACATCAAATGGCATCCTCTCAAGGCTCTTTATCATTCTTCTGCCTGGCAAGCACTTATCGGATGGCTGAATGGTGTATTGTTGTGTTGCTTCTGCTGCTGCTGCTATGCGAGAGAAGCATGTTTTTCCCCCTCATCTAACTGAAAGTGTCACCAAAGAATTCCAGTGCAAACATATGGGAGAGAGGGAGGGAAAAAAAGCAGTGAGTACGTGTTAAAGAGTCATTTAACGAGAAGATCTTTTTTAAAATGTGAATTTATTTAACGCCCGGACCGTTTCCAATGGTTTGCTTGCATTGTGCGATGCTTGGTGTAGAATGGCTTGTATGATGCCATTTCCTTTTGTTTGCTGTGTTTATTGTGTGCATACTTGCTATCATCGACCCGAATGCCACTTCAGCGCGCCACCAAGCATTGCGACAACACACAGATACGGAAAAAAAAGATGTATTTTATTTTTATTCCGATTTTCTATTGCGCTTCGGCTTCAACACGGTTGGCCTGAAATTCTTCATTTCACAGGCGCTTCGCACACACGAACACATCGAGCACATTCATTTAAGTGGTTAAATGTGGCGCAACCGTAGACTCCATAGATAACGACATATTTTGTCTTTGTTTAAAAGCCACTCGCCGGTAAACATTGTCGGTCTTGGTGAGCGTGAGCGTGAGCGCGACACGGAAAAAAATCATGCAACGGAAAGAACAAAACGGTTTTGTGAATAATTGTGTGCTGTGTGTACAGTATTTTGCAGCATACATCGATCATTTTTACCTGTCGCTGCCACTAACGATTCACCGCTTAAGCACTAATAAAGGAAGTACCAACTCGTATCTAATCCACTTTCCCTCTCTCACCCTTGTCGCTTTCAGTGGCCGCATTGTTTGCACCAACCATGTGCAATTTATGGCCGCAATCATCATACGCTTTCAATTGTCGTGCCCATAATGAGTGTGGCGTGAACTATGAACGCCAGATAAAATTGAGGATTCAAGCTTCAAGTACTTCATTTCAAACGTTGCTTTCATTTTCTTCCGCTCACATATTTTTTCTGCCGTCATTGTTGTTTGCCACTTTTCGAATTCATGTCGTGTTTTTGACATTCGAAAAATGGAAAAGAATTTTTTAATTTTGCCGAAAAATCCGTTGGTTTTTTTTTCTAAACTACGATGAAGAATAACGCGAAAGAGAAAAAAAGAGATGGGAAATAAATCAGCGAATGGGTTATAAGAGAAGGAGAAGAAAGATCAAGACAGAGAGCGAAAGAGCCAGATCGGGAAAAAATGCAAGAAAAATCGAGTAAGAGCGAGAATAAGTGAGAACTAGTAAGTTGGAACGAGACAAGTAGAATGATTGAAACGAAATTCGGCTGAAGTTCAATGGCAATCTACAGTAATTTCTTGCGAAAAACCACCATCGACATTTATGCGATGTGTTACAAGTAGACAGTGTTACGGTAAATAAGGAGAGCGAAGAAAATGTGAGAGAAAACATGTTTGCGAAATGGCACATCCATTCGGAAATCGGACACCCAAAGTCCGGACCAATTGAAGCAGTTCTCTTTTTCGCACTCAATTGCTATTAATGTGTCTCTCGATTTTATCTTCTGGTTGCGACAATCAAACACCAACTGCCAATAAAGAGTGTTTATTCAATACAATAATTCACATCTGAATTGCTTACACTTAGACACATTGCCATCGATAGAGTGAGAGCGAGAGTATAAGCAGAGAGACAGACAGCATGAAACCGACAAACGAACCGCAAAGTGTCATCACAAGCATCCTGGTGAAATTAAAATCCGAACGAGATTCCCAATTGCTTCATCGTTGGTTGATGGGAAAAGCAAAGACAAATAGCACACACACACACATTCCACCACAAACAACAGTGAAACCGATACGAGTCATTTATCTTTGGCTCATTCAATGTGTGTTTTCATTGTGGTGCTTTTCTTTTGTGGCGTCGAACAGCAGAAAAAAAGAGTATCAGAGAGAAACCGAAAAAGGAAAGTCACAAGGTATTGAATCTGTATTTATCAGCCATTTTAGCCATATTACGGCTGAAATAGAGACTACACTGTAACGCACACCGAAGACAACAACACAAAGCCAACGTGTAAGTGTACCTAATACACTTTTCTCCTTCGCATCCACAACAATTTCCACTGTCACAATTTGATGTCGTTTATTATTGTTGTTGCTGTTGCTTTTTTGTGATCATTTTTTCTCTTAGGTCATCGCATTTTTTTCTCTTCTTTCATTCTCTCCGCCCATTCGTGCGCTCCCATTTTCATTCACTATCCAACGAACAGAATATTATTTTCAATTTCCTTCTTTTGGATGCTCTTCACATGAGGAGGTAAAGTGTCGCATTTTGCTGGTGTATTAATACATCATTTGAAGGATTATACTGTCTGTGTCGTTCGTTCCGCAAAGGATTTGGATATATTGACACACTTTTGCTGCAAATTCGATGGGTTTTTAAATATTTATGCGGGTGATTTTTTGATTTTCAAGATTAAGTCATCGAGTTACTCTATTTTTCTTCCTCTATCTCTCTCTCGCTCTTCCTCGACCCGTTCGGAAAAAAGGTTTGAACATAGCCCGTATTTTGATATGAGAGAACATAAGCACAAAACTACTATTGTTGCGATGTAATGGCAAAATGTCATCACAATACGACGATATGTTATTGTAACCAATTGCGATGTGCTGTCATATGCTTTTACACGATGCCGACTATTTGGAGTCTGTATCACAATTCGATGGATTTTCTTCTATTCTTTGCCCTATCTTTTTATATTAAATGCGAAACGAAATTGATATGGTTCGCTCGGGCTCCTGTTCGTGTGCGCGCGCGTGTGTGTGTGTGTGGATAACTCTGAACGTATCGGTACAGCTGTTATATTAGATTTTGATACACGACACGTGAGTCGATCTCCTGTTACAACCAATATCATTCGAAAATATTTGAAGTGTGCACAAGCATAAATGAGACTGAGATGGGGAATAAAAGCAACAGCACACACTTGAAGCACAAGAGAAACGAGAAAGTGAGAGAGTGAAAAAAATGCAATAAAAATACAATCGAAACACTTACAGATGAATTGTAGATAGATATTTTATTTGTGCTTATTGCCTGGTGCGAGCGGCAATGGAACGAGCTGCGGAGATTGCTCCATTGCAAACGAGCGGGAGAGAGGGAGCACATTTTGTGTGTGTGTTAAGTGACAATAACAATGTAACAATCGGCATTTTACTTCATGTGTGTTGTTTATTAATGCAACAAACAAGAGAGAGGAAGAGAACAAGCAGTCAAGTTTGGAGGTGTTACTTAAGGTTACACCATTTCAACAACGATATTGAATGGCACACAGACAATTTTGCTTCCAATTGATTTGATTAGATTTGAATGAAAGGCCCATTTTGTCGGCGCTCATCGGTGTGTGACGCATAATCGCCTCCTATACTACGGCATTACGACAATCTCCACAATTTGATACTTAATTCCATTTTGGTGTGTTGCTTTCCTTATTCTTCGTCGTTTCGTAACACTTTGAAAAATGAGCCGAGGCAGGCAATGCGGTGTTTCATGCTAATGGATTGAAATCATCATCCGAATTGAATTTGTATCCAATAAACGAACAAATCAACGGGTTTCGCTGGCAAATCACAAGCGATTTGTTTCATTTGAGGATTGGCAACAAGAAGTTGGTGGCTGAAAGAATTTTTTTTAAGAACTATACCGTAGGTATAGCCCATTGCAAGCAAGCAAGGAAATACGCACTTCATGCGCAATTTGTAGCTTATCAAACACAAATTAATCATTTACTCAAACAAAAATTGTTATCACCAACAAATTATTGAAAAAACGATAGTATAACGTTAATTTATTTTCAATATTTCAATCTCAACGATCAAAATTGCCACTTATATCAACCAAACTAATCAATCGAATCTAAATATTAGCACTTTTCCATGACAATTCCTTGATCACCCTGTGATTTCTTTGTTGCTGTTGTATATTTCACGAGTAGCTATTCTCTCTGCTTGATTTAAGCGGCCTACTATTTATCATGTATGCAGCCAACGGTGGGCCGAGAGTTGCGCCCGTCGTCTGATATGACCCAGATGGTGGTGGACCGTACGATGTGTTTGGTATGGTGTTTGGTGGATATTCATTTGTTGTTGGATTCAAGTTTCCATTCCCATTTCCATTTACACTCGGCGGGTAAGGTCCTTCTGTTTCTTCTTTCTGCAAATGTAACGGACATTTCTTAGTTCCAATTTTATTTTTTAATTGTTTACATGTTTTTTAATCGATTAGTTTAGGGGAAAAAATCAACATTTAAATTGTTGTTCCGCTTTTAGTATATTCCACATCTTTAGCGTGAATTTAATACTAAATTTGAATTTGGCACCTGTGTTTTGTATCGAATAAAGTAAACTTCTGGCTTAGTGGGTACAGTTGTAGCTGGTTTTGGTAAAACAAGATCTGGAGGAGGATCCGGTTTCTTAACTAAAACGTAGACCAACGTTTTCTCTTCATCGGGCGGTTGCAACGGAATTGTTGGATATGTGACTGGAGCTTCGGTTGGTGCTTTTATAAACACGATTCGATAGTGCTTTTGTGGAGCGACAGTAGTGAGTGGTTGCCTAAATAACGAAATATGAATGAATGACGTTTTTTACACTTTATTTGCTTGAATGGTCATTTTTTATCTTTTTCTATTCATTTCATCATCGCCATTTCTAGATCGTCCAATCCCTACCTTATTATAGGTTCTTCTGGTTCGGGAGGGGGAATGTGTACGTAAATCTTGAAAAATATGGAAAATAGTTGTGAAGAAATTCATTATTCATAGTAGAAAATCAATTTTTCTGTTACATGTTTGTGAACAACTGGTTTTGACGTTGTCGGTGGGCCGTATTCGCTTTTCGGTGGTCCATATTCGTTGTTAATTTTCGGTGGGCCGTACTCCATTCCGGGCGGTTGATAATCCATCAGGAAATTGTTTGGTGGATCGTAGCTAGGTGGTCCAGGTGGACTATAGCTGGACATGCCGTTCATCAGCATGGAAGGAGGCGGCGCATAATCAGAATGAAAATTTTGTGCGGAGGCTAAACGAGGTGGACTGAATTGTAAAATCGGTGGCATAGACGGTGGTCCTTTCATTCGATAAATTCGATACCGTTTCGGCATCGATAGCACACAATTTAAATCCAAAATCATTACAAACAATGGCAAACACCTGAAGAAAACTGGTAAATTTCGTGTAAACATTTTTATTTTCACTTTTTATTCGGCATTAAAATTCTAAATTTCGTTCTATTCACGATGAACAAAAGAACTCTTAAATAAACACTAAACAAAGTTCCACACTGCAAGTCCCTTTTTTAGCCACACAGTGAGAAATCATGCACAAAACTTTTGCTCTCAATTTGCGCAATGACGATGGAATACTGAAAACTTTGTTAAAAATTAACATGTATTTATAAACAAAGGTAATTGCGTGAAGATGTTCTTCACCTTTTTTTTTCTTTCGTTATTGCTGCAGCTTGTTTTTTCTTTCACTTTGTGTTGCTTTCCCCATTCCCCGTCCAAGTGAAATGAAACCACTTGCTGAGGCGCGCACCCATTATCATTGTGTGCTCATCAATTGTGTGTCTGTGTGTATGACTGTGTATTTGTTGGCGTTCATATTGCTCGCGTATAATCTATTCACTGTTTTTATTCATTTACTTTTTTAAATTAGAGCTTTGCATTTTGAGTCTTGGTGTCGTTTTTTTTCTTTCATTTTCAACTTTTTTTTTCTTTCTTTCTTTTCTTCATGTAATTTTGGCCCATTGTGTTTGTGCGCGTCGTTTTGAAAATCCCTCAAACTAATTAAGCAATTTGTTTGACGCGTTGGATTTTTCCACGGATTTCTCAGCGCTTCACTTCAAATGAGCCAGCAATGAGTGATAAGAGAAGGCGAAATAAAAAGTTTTATTCCAACGAAATGAACAGAAAAGAAACACATCGTCATTATAATTGAGAAGTGAAAAAAAAAACAACACAAATTATACAAAGCCCCTAAAGAATAATTTGCACAGAATTATTCAAATGTATTTTGAAGAGTCAGATTGGGTCATCCAAAATGATGAGCTGTTTGAATCTGTTTCATTTGGAGAAAGAAATGGTTTTTTTACCACCCAAATAACCTTCGCAGAAAGTTAGAGAATTAATGCAGCAAATCGGAAGTGTGGAAATATCGAGGGCAACATTTAATATTTCTGTGACGGTTGTTCCTTTTATTTGCATGTTGGTCGGACGTGGTGTGAGAAATGGGCCAAAGAAAAGCGAAAGCATAGACGAATAAAAAAAAACACGCGGAAGAAATTCCCCGACTAAAATGCCGAATCGAAATGGTGTGCTGTCGAATTATATAATTATCACTTTATATGAAAAGTTGAGCATGAAATGAATGATGTGCACTTGAAAACACTGAGGAAGATTGCATGAATGGTTCAGTGTTTGTTGTTCGGCATTACATTTACCCGTAAAACCGAAAGAATAATTAAATTATTAATGAATGAAGATGATTCACTATCAACACAATCGCTTCGTCTGTGCGTTTGCATTCCATTCGCTCATAGCAATCCGAAGAAAAAACTCGTCAAAGTAAATACGCGCTGAAGTGCACTTTTATCGACGACATTCCATTCATGTCGAATAAATTCATTGCATCACACTGAGAGTGCATCCATCTTCGGGCCATCGGGGGAATTCATTTGAATATTTCGACAGTTTGGTGAAGGAAATCAATTGCACTTGACACGTGCAATCACTTGTGTCATTCAATTTGCACGTCGATGCGATCAAGTGTTACTGTACGATGAATGTTTTGGCGTTTGTGCACGAAATGTGTTTTTAACGCCTTTTGCCCAAACTTAGCAGCTGACTTTCGACTGGGAAAATGTACGGGCGCACAGCCGAACCAGCGTGAACGAGACCGAGTGTGAGAGGACGAGAGTGTGAGGGAAAGAGCACTTGACGAACAACAGCGTCGAGTGCAATTGAAGAGTTTTCATCAATTATCGCTTGAGACTAGAAGCAAAACCGAGCGTCGGCATGAAATGAGCATGCAACTACTACAACTGCCATCGGTGCTAGATAAACACCCAGACAAAAACTCACACACGAAGCATTCAATGCGTCGTACGTTCAGGTTCACATAATTTAAAATATAATAACAAGCGCTCGCGCGTCATGCATGCAAAAACCGAAACCAAAACACAAACAAAAACCGTTCATTCATTGTAATTGAATGAAGTGTATGTTATTGGAAGTAAATGCAATCTAAAAGCTATCGAAATGTGCATTCAATGTTGCACAGAGGCATAAAATTACATCTTTATTTAATTAAATGTGAAAAAACAAAACTCTGTTTCTGTTGTTGTTGCTGTTTTTTTTTCTCTCCAAATCATCTTTGCGGTTTAACACTTCTAAAAGCGAGTGCGAGAGAGAAAAGCAGAAGGAAAGATGCTTCAATCTTGAATCATTGACAAAGCCAGCGTTTCTGATGTGTTTATTACCACAATAATCGGATTTACAGCACGTCGAGCCGAAGACGGAAGAGCTTCATCCGCGTGTGATTGGTGATCTCATTTTGTCTTCTCCCTTTTTTGGCCCGTGTGTTAAATACAATGTTGCAACGTTGAGGTTTAATCTTAATTCACTCTTCGGATGATACTCCGATCCGCGATGTATTGTTTTATCGTGCTTTAATCTTCCGCCAATTATGTGTATGTGCAATTTTCCGCTATCAATTTCACATCGTCGATAATAGTTCTCGATAAAAATCGAAACATCCACAGAAACGCACACGCCAACGCAATTTGCATGTTCACCAATTTTCCCAAAATTACCAAACGAAAACAATAGCATTGCATTTAATGCTCGCACCAACGCTTAAGCAGTATCCCGATACATTGGGTTGGGGTGCAAAAAACACACATACATCCGATTCCGATCTCGCCCGCTTACAACCATTTTATTATTTCAAAGACTTGATAAATGCACAAAGCAAACTGCGAGAGCGATAGAGAGACAGAATGGGTCCCAGAGACCAGAGGAAGAGTGGAGAAACTTTGTTGAAGACAATGCGAGCAAAAGAACGACGAAGATAGCGTTCGATTTAGCCACACAAATTGGTCGTCGTGAAAAACTGTAAAAAAAAAAATTTGCGCAAACACTGGAACAAAGACCGATCGAAATGATAAAGTAATTTTCTGCTTTTGTGTGGCAATTTCGGGTAAAATTTATTTGTTCGACGTACACACACATACACACGACTTTCTTCTCGTAGAAGAATGCCCTTTAGCTACTACACAGTGTTTCGTGCAATAAAGCAAACAAAAATATATTATCGAAAAATGCCATTTTACGAATCAAAAAAATGTGCTGACGCGCGCTACTTCTCTGCATGTGAGGCGAAAGAGCTGAGCATGTGGTGTGTGTGTGTGTGTGTGGCGTTGGCGTTATGCGAGCGCATTTTCTCTATGTGGTTAATGGGCTTTCGATCTGTTTCTTTTTCAAAAAATTTCGGTTCGTTTTTGTTTTTTTCTTCTTCTTTTTGTTCATCGGTTGCATCGCAAAACGATTGTGGTTTAGCCAGACAATATCAATGGGCGCATATCTCGCTACTTTAAGCTATCGATCGCATCTCTTGTTCCACAACAGCATTTACTGTTGTTGTCTTGGGCCGCAAAAGTTTCCGTTTGTGCGTTTCATCGACACACACACACACACACACTCGTACATTGGGAACGAGTATCATGCCATTCATATCGATTCGCATCAGAATTTATGTTATTTTTGTTCGCCTTTATCGGGCGGGCGCCCAAAACGGATTTTCAGCATGCGTTCAACTTTGTGGCTGGCAAGTATGAGTACAGAAAAATGTTTCGTTGGCCAAACAGAAGGAGAGAGAGAGCGGAAAGAAAATTGACTTACATTCGTCTTTTATGCAACGCAAAATCGCTTGTGACGATATCGATATAGCTCAAACAGTCAGAATCCGGCTCTCGAATGAAATGCGAAAGCAAACCGAAACATACAAAACAACAAAGTAATAAAATAGATAAACATGGTTATCAACAAAATGCTGAAAACGTAGAAAAAAAACGAGCGCAAGAAAAAACAACACCAGCTAAAACCAAAATGCACACAGACAAACACAAATAAGAGCGAAAGCGAGATTCATAAGCGAAATCGAAACAGACAACCACTTTCTGATGCAATGGCATGGTAACAAATATACAGGGAATGGAGCCGAATGGTGCGCGCTCAAGACGAAAAACACTATACAATCGACAAACGATAGTTTCGTTTTTTCTTTTAAGTTTGTGTGAGTGTGTGTGAAAACAAGTAAAAAGGATTTCAATATAGATTGCTTGCAGCTAAAGTAATAATAGTAAAAGCTCAGCAAACCCTATGTATATCGGATCGTTTATTTAAGTCTCACTATGATATTTTTCTCTTTTCTTCCTCTCTGTCTTTTCGCTCCGAAGAGTCTGGGAAAATGGGAAGCGAGAAACGTTTGAAGTGTTTTCATCTCGCATGTGATGAATTCATTTTGGGCTAACCCCAAAAACGCAGTCGACAAAACAATATCAACGTCTCTCTCCCTCAGAACTAAATTGAAGTGAAACAACTCACCAAATCTGCCTCACTCCACAGACACACACACACACACACACACACACATCGCAACCAACGAGATAAAGAAACCCGAAATTGAAGGAATGCTACCAGCAGCGCCGATTTAACAAATACCCGATATCTCGCTGATAGATTCGAATATATCCGAATAAATATCAATGAAGATAATCGCCAATGAGTGATGCAAGCTACAGAAAGTGTGGTGGGACTCCAGAAAATGTGTATATCTCGATTTTAGTCAATTCCTCCTCAGTTCTCGAGTTTTTTTTGACGTTACCGAACAGTTATCCATCCACAACTAAGTACTAAGTTCAATAAATGATTCAAATCGCAATAAATCGACTATTCGGCAAGAATAAAGCAAGCAAAAAATCTCCGGTCCATGAACCAAATTTGATTCTTCAAACAGTTTAGTTTTCGCAGTAGTTTTGCCTTACTTGCGCCTCATGCAAACATCCTGCCATTGTATTTGTTAACCATTTTATCGTTATTTCAACAACCGCACGTACCGTACCATCTCTAGCGCCATTTAACGTTGCAGAGAGTGTGTGTATTGATATTTCGGCTGGTATCAGTTTCGCTGGATTATTTTACCGTGCATATTTCCAAAGTCAGAGTGCGGTTTGGATTTGATTTTTGCCTTCATTTTTATTATGATGATTGCTGGAAATAAACTGCAATGGCAAGAAGACAATGAACAGAACGAGAGGAATTGTCCGGAATAAAATCAACGACGCGCGGCTAGGGAGCAAAGTGTATAAATTCGGTGAGCGTTAAAATAAGACGAAGGGTGCATTTCAAATGTGTATTTATTGCGATTAACGTTGACTTTGATTTCCGTCAATATCGAAACAATTTCATATGAGCTACAAGACCATTTTCATTCGTAAAACGAGCGTTTGAGTCAAACTGAACTCACATCATGTGTATTGCCATTATTATTGGCACCCACGACGACTTACTTATATGCAAGGTTATATAGCCGAATGAATTGAGAAATTCTTGCAAATTCGGTTGGAATCTCGTCACATCGCAATCGGCACACATGCGTTGTAAATTCAATTGAATTGATTGAATTATTAGAGGTAGGTCGAGGTCGTGGGTGTTTTGCAACGACATAAATTGCCAACTTTAACAAACAAAATGAACGTCATTCGTTATTACGTTGTTAGTTTGATAGAAAATCGACGGAATAAAAAGAGACTTTTTTGTGTTGTCGTTGTTTTTTCCTCTAGTTTGTGCACCCAACAATGGGTCTTTTCAATATGTTGACAACGTAAATTATTTGCTCTACATATTCCATCCGAATAAATCAATTAATTTAAAGCGATGTCATTATTTTGGTGTTTGTTCGATTGTTGTAGCTGTACGCTTTCATTTTTCAATTCGTTGAGTATGGCACGGCATACACATTTGATGTCGATACACACAAAACAAAAATTGGTTCCCATTTTTGATGTTTCCTCAAATGAACATTTGATTGTTCGAAGTCATCATTAGAAAGGCAAAGAACGCGAAGAAATTAATCAATTTCGCCGAACTGGCCTCAAATTGCATGTGACAACAGAAAAAACCAAAAAAAAAGAAGATCAAAATATTTATGCGAAATAATACTCTTGTACCCACACAAATATATACGCAAAACATTTGAAATGGAACATTTCGTTCAATTGTTCAGTACACGCTCATCGCGCGCATATACGCTGTGGGAAAAAGAAATGAACATGATACAATGTTCTGAATCAATAGCTAGATAGCTATTATTAGTTTCATGTCGATTATTTTTATTTTGACTGCTGTTTTGATTGTCGCTCAAGCTATTATTTAATTGCTATCGTTTAGCTCATCTCTCGCGTTCTCTCTCGCTCTCTGCCATTCAGTTTGTTCATTCCGGTGCGGTTTCGATCGACGATTCAACTGCACGGGCGAAGTGCGATTGTGTGAGTATGTTTACGGAACGACTACGTACTGGGATGAAGTCAACGGACAATTGTCTATGGTCGTGTGTTGTGCGATATTCTATGTTTGATTACTTTGAATTGATTTAAATTGTTTCAACGAGTTTAAATTCGCTTTAGGCACTGATACACTCAGCGAGAGCAAGAAAGAATAGCGTGACACGCACATCTTACAAGACAAGGCACTGGCTCTAGCATTGCACGACCGAGAGATCTTATCGCAATCAGACGAACGACACGATTGCAGCAATTTGCCTGGAACGGTCGACATTTGCAACGGAATGATTTCACCACGTGATGCCTAAAAACTAGTTCAACGGTCACAAGACGCGCAAAAACGAATAAAACTAAAGTCAATAGTTTTCGATATCGCGGAAGAAACAAAATAAAAACAATTGTTATAAAAAAGCGAAGTTCTTTATAAGTCAAGACGCGTGCAAGCGCATCAAAAGATGTGAACAATTTTAGTGGGTTGTCATTTTTCAAAATTGTAATGTATCGTAAAGTGCTTTGGATTGAACGAAAATTACGCAAAATCCTCTGAAGCGAAAATTAAATTGAAATACTGAAAAAAAGTGTTCGTTGTGTTTGAATAATTTAGAAGCAAAGAAATAGAGTTTAAATGAGTGGCAAAGTGGAATGTGATACGATTGGTGTTGACGTCGAGTCATTGGTGCATTTGGATATACTGCCGAAGCCACCAACACCGGGTACAATCCCGATAAATTGTCGCCTTGGTTTGGATAAAAAAAGCGGCCGTGTAAAATGGTGTCCCGATTGTCAGTTCATAAAATATTTCCTGATTCTTCCGGTGATTTTGCTGCCGGTGATTGTAGTGTTTGTGCTAATGATGCGCATTTCGAGCACATTTACTGGTCGCATCGAGCTGACCCCATCCACGGAACGTATACAAATTTCCACGGATTTAGAATCAGTTCATCGGCTAACACGCGATGTCAACAAACTATGGGCCACCATCAATCATAACTGTGAGATTTTTCGTCATTTGGCATCGGAAAAATCGATCGCTGACATGCAGGACAAAGATTTGTTCCGTGATATTCGCACGTCATTCATTCCATCATCGGATATGTGTATGCGGCTGTATCACGAAATGTCGCATGATGAAATCGAAAGCGGAATCAATAGTGTCGACGACCCACCGCAAACAAATCAATCAAAAAGTGTTGATCAATTAAGACGTTGGATCAATAAATATGCCGATCCAATTGATTTCAATCGTTTGAACTATGGTTCGTTAAATTTTCGGCGTCGTCGACGACAAATTGATAATAATGAAGACATTACGGATGACGGACAAAATAAAACGAATGACATTCGAAATGGGTCAGATATGGTGGCGGCGGCAGCAGCGGTTGCGGTGGTGACAGCAGTACCGGAATCAGAAAAAGAAGACATTGACGATGAACCACTGGAGATTCCAGCCTTTTTACGCACTTTTTGGAGCCTTGGCGGCAAAACATACGAGCAAATTCGAAACAGTCAAGTTGAAATCATAAAGCAGTATATGGACACAAGCGTTAAGCCTTGTGATGATTTTTATCAGTATGCCTGTGGCAACTGGGATAAATTGAATCCGATCCCAAAAGATAAAGCCGCTTATGATACATTCGAAATGTTACGAGAAATTCTTGATATTGAATTAAATAGCTTGTTATCGGAGAGTAAAGTCACGGCTGACACCGATAGCAGTCCGGATATTGATGTGGCAGTGATGAACACAACCGAAATGCCACCAACGGAAATCGCTGATTCGCCTAACTCAATCGAAATCAATATCGTTAAACGCAGTGATGAAAATGCGGAAAAAATTATGATGAGCGCCGAACAAAAAGCGAAATTTCTCTACAAATCATGCATGAATGCCGAAATACTAGAGCAACGTAAATTGGAACCGTTGTATGCGTTGCTCGAATCGCTGGGAGGTTGGCCAGTACTTGACGGTGACAAATGGGATGCATCAAAATTCAATTGGCTGGAATTGGCAGCGAAATTGCGTCTTTACAATAATGATGTGTAAGATCTGTATATAAGCAGTAATGTGTCGACATTTGTACTATATTGACTTTTCATTCAATTTCTCGTAGATTGATCATGCAATGGGTCGGGCCTGATATCAAAAATTCACACGAGAATGTCATTCAATTTGATCAGAACAGTTTAGGGCTGCCGACCAGAGATTATTTCATCAAATCGGTAAACAGTGTCTACCTCGAAGCGTATCAAATGTTTGCAAAACAAGTGATTCATCTGTGTGGTGCGAGTGAAAATGAAAGTGCAAAGACGGCCGATGAAATTGTCAAGTTTGAAATTGAATTGGCACGAATAATGGCATCGCCACAAGATCGAATGAATGTAACTCAATTGTATCGACGCATGACCGTCGCCAGTTTGTATGATTATGTGCCCGAAATCGATTGGCAACGCTATTTGGAAATTGTTTTGGAGCAGAAAATCGAACGGAACGAAGTGATTGTGATGTTTGCATTGAATTTCATGCAAGACGTTGTTCAGTTGATAAACAATACGGACTCAAGAACGGTGGCCAATTATATGCTGTGGAAATTCGTTCGGCATCGTATCAACAGTTTAGACGATCGATTTCAAGATGCGAAGCAACAGTTTTACAATATTTTAATTGGACGCAAAAAATCACCACCACGATGGAAAATTTGCGTCAACCAAGTGAATTCGAACATGGGCATGGCGGTTGGTGCAATGTTTGTACGCGAATACTTTGATGACAGCAGCAAACAAGACACTCTGGCTATGACTCACGAGCTGCAAGACACTTTCCGTGAAATACTCAATGAAACGTATTGGTTGGACGACGAAACGAAAGCATTGGCTGAATCAAAAGTCAACCGAATGTCACTGAAAATCGGATACCCTGATTACATTTTGGATGCTGACAAATTGAATGAAAAATATGCAGATTTGGAAATCCATCCGGAACAATATTTTGAGAATATACTGAATGTGTTACGTCATTTGACACGATCTGAACAGAACAAACTGAGGGAATCGGTCAATCGAACGACTTGGAATACTGCACCAGCAGTTGTGAATGCGTATTACAGCCGCAATAAAAATCAAATCATTTTTCCGGCCGCAATTCTGCAGCCACCGTTCTATCATCGACATTTGCCACGGTCTTTCAATTTCGGTGGCATAGGTGTTGTTTCGTTGTTTTGAATAATTGAATTTTCTTTTAATTTTACCATTTTTTCATTCATTTTTTTACATTTTCCTCTTCGTTTCTGTTCGATTAGGGGTCGTCATCGGTCATGAGTTAACGCATGGAAAGTATTTCTTTTCTCTATTTTAATCGTCGTACTCCGTAGTGGGGTGTCAATTTCAATTTCAACTTTGTGTCATTTTATCTAATCTCGCAATCTCATCCACTTTTCAGGATTCGACGACAAAGGCAGACTCTTTGATCAGGATGGCAATTTGAATCGGTGGTGGAGCGAATCAGCGATTGAGGTATTTCATCAGCGTGCTAATTGCTTGGTATCACAATATGGCAGCTACAGAATGAACGAAATCGGTGGTCTGCCAGTCGATGGCATAATTACGCAGGTAAAGTAATTAAGATCCATTTCAATTAAAATTCAATAAATTTGCTTTCATCATAAAATCAAAATAGGGCGAAAATATCGCTGATAATGGCGGAATTAAGCAAGCGTATCGTGCATACGAGAAATGGCTTGAAACTAACTGCCACACGACTGAATGCATAAAACAAGAGCATCTACAGGGATTAAATGTCACCCACAAACAGTTGTTTTTCATTAACTTTGCTCAAGTGTGGTGTGGTGCGATGCGACCAGAGGCGACCAAAAGTAAAATGAAAACCTCCGTTCACAGTCCCGCACGATATCGAGTAATAGGTATGTAGTTCGAAAAGCACTTCCATCATCAAAAGCCCTTTTATCCCAATGGAATTTCGTTGAACTGACATGAAATGCATTCATTTCCTCTAGGCACCTTATCAAATTCAAAGGAATTTGCATCTGCGTTTGAGTGTAGTGCGGACGCAGCAATGAATCCGCCGAAAAAGTGTAGCGTGTGGTGAACAAACCAGGAGTGCAATAATCACATGCTCAATTCATATTAGGCAAAACCAAAAGAGAAAGATTTGTTAAAATTTTGTTTTTAAAATGAGATTTAATTAAACATTGATTATGTGAGTTCCAAAAGAAGGAGAACAAAAACGGATCAATAAACGAAAATCGAACAAGTGGTTCAATGTGTTAGCAAAAGTGTTTTTTTGAACTTGGATCGCGCGTCAACAGTACCAAATTTCTTCGACACGAATTTCAGTCGTTCATATCTTTCAGTTAAACTCCTTCGACCCGGGTAGCAATGTCCGTTAGTGTGTGTGTGTGTATGTGTGTTTTTTGGTTATCTTTCGGAGTGTATAGCTGCTGAATTTGCAAATGTTTCGCGTATCACTGGCTGCTGGGCATCATAAAGTATCGGTCAACTATATATGAAATGTGAACAAGACTTTTTTTTCCTCACTCATCTCGCAGCACCCACACCCTTGCCGAAAAAAGCGAATAAGGCAAAGGAGTGCGAAAAAAGTAACTCACACACAACGGGGCAAATTTATGAGAAAACATTTTATCTGAGCGTAGTTCAACCGCCAACGGTCACTAAAACATCAACCAAAAAATGCTGCAGAAAAAAGAACACATTCTCTCTCACACACACATACAAACATTGAGGGTAAAAGTGATTATTTCTGTGAATGACTTTGCTCGTTTCGGACTTGTTTGCTCGCTTGCTTGCCCGCTCGCTCCGTTCACTGTTTTTTTTTGCATTTCTTATTTATATGAAAGAGTGTGTGTGTGTGTGTGTGTATGTGTGTTCGTTATGTGTTTTTTTCTTCACTTTTTGCGGTACGATTTGTTGAAATATCGAAAAAAGAAAAACCATAACGAGGAAAATTTATGTGCAACCATTTACCATTAGATGAAAATGTATCGGATTGCAGTAGCAAACATCATCGTCGCTCTCGTCGTCGTCGTCGTAGCCATCCTAGCCGACGCTTTTGTCGTCTGTGTGTCGTTACTTTTAGCATACTCTCACAGTGCGGCCGAGTGTTAACTGAAGTAAATGCGAGTTTGCCAACCCTTTTTCATCTCCATTTCAAAATAATAAATTTTCACATTCGATTCCGTTTTTAGTCGGTCGCTTACGGACCAACGAATGAACCAGCACACGGTATGGCACTAGCAACGATGACAACAACGACGACGGCTCATTTCCACATGTGCTTGAAAATCCTTAGCAAATCATAATAATACTCAACATATTGAGTTCAAACGCCCGCACTTTGGATCGCTATTTTGTATTTATATGTCAGTGAATGAAAACTACATACTTATAATGCTGGCTGAGTGTGTGTTTGTGTTTGTGTTTGTGGCGAAATTGATGACTTGCGGAAGGAAATCGAAGTTGTTCAACGGGATTTTATTTCACATGCTTCGACATGTGTCTCAGTTATTCAGGGTAGCCTTGCTACTTGACCAGTTTGTCTGGGTGCCTTTTGCTGTGGAGAAAAAAAAATTTGCTCAACAAATGGGAAAAGATTTTCGCCCAAGAAAAAAACATGCAAACCGATAAAAAAAGACAATGATGGGAAATGACCTGACCGAATCTAATTGGAATGAGTGACCAATGAAAAATTGAAACAAACCGAAAGAAGCGACCGCTTTGAATATCACATTGACAAACGCGTATGACACACGAGCTATTAAACGGGGCGACTCGACTCAACTCGGAGAATCAGAGTGAATGAGTCCATAGGGAATGTTATCTTTTGCTGTGGTTGAAAATTATCGTCGCGCCTCAAACCGTACTATAAAAAATGCGATACAAAACCACCGCAATCTATTTCAAGCACAAAATCGGCAACGTTTCCATTTTTGCTTCGAAAAAAAGAAGAAAAAAAAACTTAGCGTTATGATTTGATATTCTCAAATTGTAATCGATTAGAGCGGTTAATGCCTTTGTCACACACACATACACACACACACACTCACATCAACTTCTATACCATCCAGTAACCACATTCATGCGCTATTTTTCATTGCCATTTTTGTTCGTTTTGTTTTTTTTTCGTTCCTTTTCTTTTCTTTTTGCATGAAGAGGGAAACAAGAACATTTATCTAAAATACGGTTTCTCTTCCGGCGCATAAATTTTATTCGCAAAATATAAAAGAGAAACTAATATTTCTGACTTGTTGAAAACGACGACCGGAGCAGAATGGAAAAAGAAAAAAAAACACCCTCCTCCGAAAGCAAAACGACGTGATTTATCATCCAAAACTGAGAGAAATGAGAAACTTAATTTCAAAATTAATTCCGTAAAGTGGTGGAAACGGGTATAGATGAGCGAATGAATGTGTATGTTGTGCATGGGGCTTGGCTTTATGTACTGCATCCGCAGATAATTCTTCTTGTCAACCGATTTTATGAAATGTTATTAAAACAACAAGATACATATCTATTGTTAGTCGGTATACGGTGTACAAAATATCACAGATGAAAATCATGATTTATCTATTATTATCTGGTAATTTTCCATTCGCATGGCGCATTTAACACGTACGCCACAACGAAAGCAAAAGTCGACAATGCATTTCGACTTTTTGAACATTGTCATTGTCAGCGGTTGCTTGCGTTTACTACTTTTTTTGTTGCGATACATCAACATGATTCATCACACGAATTATTTTTGGAATGTGTGAAGAGATGCATCTACGCCACCGTTTTTAAGATGCATTACTTCGTCGAAATAATGGAGCAAGTTTTGGATTTCGATTTTATCTTCGAAAAGAAATTTGTTTTTGGCACACCTACACTTTATTGACAGTAGCCGAAATTGATTTTTTTTTTCTATGGTGTAGCTGGGGTCGAGTATGTTCCAAATATATGCCAATTTTTTTCCGCACCCCCCTGTGTATCCAAAAAATGGGTGTTCGAAGGGCGACCATGAAAATCAGGGTATTTACACCAAAGGTCATATCTCCCCAGCCATGGGAGGGAGGGCATTGCTCCTTGGGTCAAAATTGTAGTACTCGTGAATACCTATCCAACGGTATACATTACTTTCACATTTATCTACGTTATGTTCGAAAAACCGTTACACGAAGAAAATCAAATTTTTGGGTCAAAAAAGTAAGTTTATCCTCGTTTTCTGGGTCATTGGGTGGTTTTATCGTTGGAGTGTGTTCAGGAAAATTGTAGAGTGACTCAAGGAGGACAACTTTGCTTCAGACCATTTTGCCCCATCTCCTTATGGCAGGGCAGTATAGCCCCCGGTTTCACTGAAACAAGGTCAAATTAATAAATACTGAGTATTTTCTTGTTCTAAATGTCATACTAGTTGCACCATATACCATAAAATATCCCGTATAGAACTTGGTGTGACACCTGTATGGATTTTATACCTAACCTCACTTTACCACAATACATATATATACGATTTATAAATAACAAAATAAACTAGGTAGGCACGAAGTAAAAAACCAAACCACTCAATTACCACGCGGAAAAAATGGGATGGGGTTAAAAGCGCGCGCGCTCGTTCGGTCTTGCACTCCCTTTTAACCCCATCCCATTTTTATTTCATTCTATTAAATATAATGGGTTGATTAAATGTATATGGGGTTTCATTTCGGAAAAAATGGGAGGGCGGTTAGAAAGGAAGCACAAGACCTTCACTCGCGCGCGCGCTCGTTCGATCTTGTGCTTCCTTTCTAACCGCCCTCCCATTTTTATATTAAAACTGTACGTAAAAGTGACATTTGAAAATGTGTTATACAAACTGTTATAGTGGTATACAAATGTGTTATACTGATATTTGGGAGTGATATATAGACTGTTATTTAATATGCGGTGCCACTTGTACGATATTAAGAACAAGAAAATATTCAGTATTTATTATTTTGACCTTGTTTGAGTGATACCGGGGGCTATACTGCCCTGCCATAAGGAGATGGGGCAAAATGGTCTGAAGCAAAGTTGTTTCTTTTGAGTCCTTCTATAATTTTCCTGAACACACCCCAACGATAAAACCACCCAATGACCCAGAAAACGGAGATAAACTTACTTTTTGACCCAAAAATTTGATTTTTTTTCGTGTAACGGTTTTTCAAACATAACGTGAACAAATGTAAATGTTATGTATACCGTTGGATAGGTATTCACGAGTACTACAATTTTGACCCAAGGAGTATTGCCCTCCCTCCTATGGCTGGGGAGATATGACCTTTGGTGTCAATACCCTGATTTTCGTGGTCGCCCTTCAAACACCCATTTTTTGGATACACAGGGGGGTGCGGAAAAAAATTGGCATATATTTGGAACATACTCGACCCCAGCTACACCATAGAAAAAAAATAAATCAATTTCGGCTACTGTCAATAAAGTGTAGTTAAGCCTTGTTTCTAGATAGCGATGGTGTGAATAATGATAATTGTATTTAAAAAATGATCTGAGTTTCAATAAAAATATTGTTTTTGAATGAAGAAATAGCGACAATGAGGAACTGATCGTCTTATGGCAAGACTTTTGTGTCATCATTTTCCGCACGTAACAATGAAATAATTGTGCCATGAAACCTGTAATTCAACCGACAAATTGGTATGGCGACAGCTGATAAACGCTTATTGAATTACCCATTTTCAATGAATTCATCATCATTTCCACCTTCACTAATCTCTTTATTTGTTGAATCAGTTAGTTGCCGGTGAGAGACACAGAGATGCTGACAGAAAGTGATCGCATACCTTGGATTGTGGCATTAGTATTCCAAGTTGCAAATCAATTCCCCTATCAATAAAGCGTTAAATATGCACGTCAATTAAAATGTCTCTTGAAGTCAGTGCTGAAAAGTTAACTCAAAATGGGAAACGGGTCTTGTCGTCGTCATCTATTCAAAAAGTTAAGTTTTCCAAACGAGTAAAAGTGGATTTGAATAAATTATCATGAAAATCATGAGGAATGGCAACAATCAGGCACCGAAAGATATTTATTACTGTCTGTTATGAGCAAGAGTCATTCATCGTTTGCAGGGAAATGAAATCACATCACAAAGTAGCTTAAATACAAAATAGTCACATGAGAGATCTGTTGAAGACGAGGATGTGAATGATGACGACGACGCCAGAAAAATGATTCGTTCGATGTTCCATGTGACTCAACAGCATCATAATAATCGTTAGGACAATTTCGAATGCAACA